ATGTCATTGAAAGCTTTCCAAAAGATACCTTGGAAATTAATATTGAAATGTAACATTGAAATCATTCAGAAGTATTTCTGAAACGTTTTATTGAAATCATTTATGATCCTTCACACTGAAATATTTCAGAAATATTAAAAACATTTCAGAGAAATATTTCATACGTAATCTCTAAAACATATGTTATTGAAAGCTATCCAACATATAACTTGGAAATTAATAGTGAAATGTGAGATAGAAATCATTCAGAAATATTTCTGAAATGTTTCATCGAAATCATTTATGATCCTTCTCACTGAAATATTTCAGAAATATTACGAAATATTTCTCTGAAATGTTTCTATTTTTCTATTTCTATAAATGTTTCTATTTCTCAAAAATATTACGAAACATTTCAGAGAAATATTTCGTACGTAATCACTAAAATATTGAAAGCTATCCAACATATAACTTGGAAATTAATATTGAAATGTAATATAGAAATCATTCAGAACTATTTCTGAAGCATTTAAGAGATATTTCTGAAGCATTTCAGAAATATTTCCGAAGCATTTAAGAGATATTTCTGAAGCATTTCAGAAATATTTCAGAAACATTTATGATACCTCATCTACGCGGACATTTCATGTATCTGAAACATGTCTGAAATATTTTTTTGATAGGTTTCATATTTCATTGACAGCTTTTTGAGAGCTTTCTGAAATATTTCGGTGCTGTGTGGACATGTTGCTGTAATATCGAATTCTGTTTTATACCCTTTTTTATTTAAATCGGACAGGCAAATTATTATTGCACATTCATCGAGAGAGTCAAATGTTATAGTTAGTTTTTCTTTAGTAAACGCGACAACAAATGTTTTTTTCCATTCATAATGATCGTTATAAAACTTTTACAAATACTTTTGTACCTTCTTAAAAAAGTTTAAATCTGATATATGTGATTGTTGATATATACAGGTATATATGTACTGCATTGGGAACGCAGTGAAACGTTGGACGATTCGCGCGTATGAACGAATCAGCAAATTAGTAGCATAGACTAAGCAGGACTAAAATTATTGACACATCAGGGTAATTTGACGATTAATGACGGTTAAGCCGATAATCGCTAACGAAACTACATATTAAAGTGCTGTTTCAGGCCAAGATCAGTCGATAAACGTAGCGCTGTTTTTATATTCTAATACCTTTTAGAGAGACACTGGACTCTCTTTCTTAAAAACTTTACAAACTTATGCGATCAACAAAATTGAGTGAAGCTTATTGTCGTCAGTGGTAATTAAATAAAGGGGAAAACAGTGACTTAAATAAAGGTCACTTTTGTGCCAGTCTGGTCGACTTAAAATGCCCCCCTTTGTTTATGCAATAAAGGGCATATTATCTTATAGGAAGAACGCCTTCGTACAGTGAGACTTAATTACGTACATACAAACAGAATATACCTTTTAGAAGGCAATATCTCATTCAAGATAAGCGTTTTAACCTTCTGACGCGAGATTGCAATGCGAGATCACGGCGTATCTTTGAGAAAGTTGACAAAAGTTTGCTTCTAAAACCAACTTTACTGCTTAATAAAGTGTGTGTAACGTGTAAAGCCCGTAGACGATGCTATTTTTCCTGCTGGATTGCTTGCGATTTAGTAAATTACTAGAAATCCTGAGTGCTGAGTGGTGCAATGATAGTAATTTATTAGATTGCAAGCAATCCAGCGGGAAAAATAGCATCGTCTACAGCGGGCTTAATTTAATCTAATTGTCTGATATTTTACTTCGCCGTTATGCAAGCTTACGTAGCGCGGTTTAACGATTCGAAACGAAGAGCCTACGATTTCGGATGAAGAGGCCAAAGTTCAAGGCGAGATTGCAATTATCAATTTTAACTTCCATCCATTCCTCTCTCCGTGGAATGTTACATCAGCCGGATAAAGATATACATTCGAGACGAATGTAGGAGCGTACATGGACGTACGCGTACATCCGAATTGCTGACTCCGCGATGACGTTCGGCTCACAATTTTTTAGAGCGCGGGGCAGAGATTAGAGACTCTTTCAAACGCTGTTTAGTCGATATCCTGTATTTAACTCCGTATATAAGTCGTGACGTCAAATTCAATTGATGAATACCTCGTTTGTTGTAAACATGTGTTCTTCGTATGAGAAGATAAGTAAATTACAGAAAATTTACTCTAGTCGGTTCTTAAATAGCCGTTATCAAGGATTAATTTGAGAAAACGTAAATTTCATACCACTTTCTTCTATTTAAATGTAATTCTCTCTTCCTCTCTTTCTCTCTCTCTCATTGCAAAATCAAGATTAAAAGACGGAAAGAATGGAAAAATTTTTAACAATTTAAAAAGCAAAGGAGTTCTCTGTTAAAATTTTGTAAAATTGTAAAAGATTTATAAAACAAACTTCGCGATTCTTGTAATACATCTGTACGCTTTGAATAATGCAATGCTTTTATAATTTTTTGTTGGCATAGCGAGTTGTTTATTCAAGGCTTCAACCTAGCGACTATCGTTGATTATTGAAAGCCTTGACCTAATTGACATAATTTTTATTTGTGAAATATCACTTTGATGAACGCCTTCTTCCTCTACGTAAATATTCGATAGCGATAAACGATTTGTGAACTAATTTAAAACTACTTTCATCGCTTTCAGTCTGGTTTTAATATTTAATAAAACGTAAAGTAAGGAGTTTAACGAAACAATTTCGTGACACATACACACACATACATAATATATACATGTATATTGCATAATGGCATCTTTTTTAATTTATTTAAAGTTTTCGTACAATGCATACTGAGGATAAAGTCAACTTTGTCGCAGCGTACATGTCTTTCATTTTTTCGCCATAATTTTTTATGTGATTGTGATAAGCATTACGTAACTCAAATGATCTCGAAAAAGAAAATCTTGTAGTCTTGGGAAGGTCTTAAAACTTGTAAATAAATCTGTCACGCCGAAGACTTCATAATTGAAACTTAAAGATTGAGATACGATTACAGAATTAATTACAGATTTTGCTCACTGGTCGTTCGGCAGTAAAATGCCCCATGTCCTCCAGAAAAAGCTACGAAGTTCCGGAAAATTCTTGAAATTAAAGTTTATGTGTGGGATCTCCCTAACACATTACAATGTTGAATATAATTTGGTATACAAGTAATAAGTTGTGTTTCTAACCGAGGCTGATACCGCTATTACCGTCCACAGCTCCCCCGAGAGAGACAACCTTTACTGTTCAACCTTCTCATCGACGCTCTCGTCTATTTTTTCTTCAATTTTGTCAGTCTTCTTTGTGTCTGTTTCTTCAATTTTGTCAGTCTTCTTTGTGTCTTTCGTACCCTTTCTGTTTCCCTTTGGCATGTTTCCTATGCCATTTAACATTCCACCTACGTCGCCTAATGTTCCTTCTACGAGGTTTCCTACTTCGTCTAAGACGCCTTTTACTCCACTACCCACTCCTTTTAAGAGTTCATTTACGCCAGATAGTACATTGCCCAGCAAACCTGCCTGTTGGGGCTGGACCATGACAATCTGTTTCTTAGAGTCCTTGAGTGCTTCTCCACCTTGCTTGATATCATCTTTCAATTTCTTCAGGAGATTGTCAGCATCTTCACGAAGCTTCTTGCCAGTTTCTTTAAGCTTGTTGGTAATCTCGCCAACCATTTCGCTTGTCTTGCCTTCAGCTCCTTTAAGACCTTCCTTAATCTTTTCATATATTTCGCCAGTCTCGCCCTTCAGTTTTTCAAGCCCACCGTTCATTTGCTTTGACAGTTTGTCCATTGTCTCCTTCAGTGTCTTTTCAAGCTCTTCTTTCGTGACCTTGAATTTTTCTTCGACTATGTTTTGTATTTTGCCGATTTCTTTCTTCATTCCCGCGACACTGTCTTTCAGATCGCTGGTTACAGTCTTCATCAGTTCATCAGTTTGTTTTTTCATTTCCTCAAAAACGTTGTCCAGTGTGCCTTTCGCGTTGTCCAGCGTGCTCTTCAACTTCGTACTCAGTTCCCCGAATTGTTTCTTGGCTTCCTCGACAACGTCCTTCATCCCATTTTGAAGTTTTCCAGATATGTTCTCCACCTTCTCGCTGAGCTTTTTCTTCAGCTCCTTGACATCGCCGAGTTTTTCTTTCAAATTAACCTTCATCTTCTCGACTTCGGCGACCAACTTCTCCTTTAGCTCGGCAGTTTGACTCCCAAACTTATCTTTTATTTCGCCAAGTTTTTTCGTCATACCCTCGACAAGGTCTTTCCCCTGGTCTTTCATTTTGCCGACTACTCCCCCCAACTTCTCCTTTGTTGCGTCGAGTGTTTCTTTAAGTTGCTCGACAGCCTTTTTCGCATTGCCGGTTAAGCTCGTTTTCAGTTCACCGAGTCGCGTGTTAGCATTCTTCATTAATTGGTCAATGTCGGTCTTCACGCCATCGGCATGTTGTTTTACTTTGTCCATCACGGTTCCCATTCCCTTGTTAAGTTTACCGAGATTTCCCTTTAGCTTGTCCAAGGATTCACCCAGTTTGTTTTTCAATTTGTTGTTCATTTTATCACCAATCTCCTCGAATTCTTTTTTTTCTTCTTTAAGTTTCTCCACAGCCCCCTTGGCACCATCCATAATCTTCTGTGAGTTTTCCAACAGTTTGTCTTGCACACCGCCCAAAGTATCTTTGCCCTTCTCTAGGACATTTCCGAGAATGCCATAAGTCTGATCTTGCTTATTACCCGATTTCTCTCCTAAGAGGTCCTTTAACTTGTCCTTGGTGAGTGAATCGAGTTTCTCCTTCAATTTCTGAAGCGTTTCCTGATTCAACAACTTCTCCATGGCGTCCTTCACCTGGTCATTTTTCTCATTCAGCGCATACTGATAATCTTTCTCGAGTTCAGCTTTCAAGTTCTTGAGTCTTTCCATGATTTCGTTTGCATTTTGTTTCTTCTCTTCAAATAATTTCTTGGCCTCCTTAAGAGCCTCCTCGAAATAGTCCTCGGCCATCTCTTTCTGTTTCTGGAGCTCTCGTTTGAGGTTTTCCATAAGTTCCGGGATGTTGTCCGTCATTTCCTTGAATTTTTCTTGTACTTCTTTGGGTAATTGCTCAAACATTTCTTGTATTTTGTTGGCGATGCCTTCAGGCAATTCAGGCAATTGCAAACCTCCCACATTTTCTGGCACCGGGATGGCCTAACGAGCGATTGAGAAAAACAAGTTTGATTATATTTCAAAGCAAAAATATTATTTGCATATACGTATACGGGGTGAATTTCATTTCGTGTCCAGCCTTTTCTCATGAGAGATGGATTACCGACCGAAACTGTGGCCAACCTGGGAAAAAAATGGAAAAATCTCGTAATATATGTCTCAACCATGTAATATCTCATTGTATCTTGAGAGATATAATTAGATATTACATTATTGAAATATATATAACGAGATCTTTCCATTTTTGCCAGAGTTGGCTACAGTTGCAGTCGGCAATCCATCTCTCGTCGTAAAGTACTGGGACGCGAAATAAAATTCATCCTGTACAATACATGCAATATGGAGAAGAGTAAGCATGTAGGTACAAATATTATTGACACAGTTACACAGCATGAAATACGCGTTATAGGATAAGTAGAGCGAAACGTAATGCGATAGATGATATTTGTGTAACTCACTGGCCAATCGCCAAGTGTCTAAAATTAGAATTGTACTTAATATATTTATTTAGCAACTTTAGGATTTTTTCCGTCTACTCTTCGGTACTCTCAGAATCACAAGACAATCTTTTGCGTGATAGCTTACCTGGTTGGTGTAACACAGAGCCGCCAGCACGGTCACGAGAAGAGCAACGCGTGCCATTGCGATTTTGGAAGTTTAAGCGTGACGCGGTCAAGGGGACGCTGGGCCAATCTTCTCCCGGCGAAGGGAAAAATCACGAATCGAGATACGTAATGGCAGTCGTTTCAACGAACGCGCTTATATATCAGTCGAAATTTGTTTATTGCGCCTGTTGCATGGGTCAGGTATGCCCACCCATTATTCTAGCTCTCGCTCGCCGACGCATTATTTGATATAACACACCTGCGCCAATTTGACTGAATAGCGTCCTTACTTGTAATATTGGTGCATGATAAATTGAAACGGTTAATTACCGATTCAACCAGAGATCCCGCCAGACGTCATAACGCCTGATATAACAACGTTTCTTTGCTCAAAACATTTCTTTACACAAAAAATATGACCAGCTGATTTTCACCAGTTGAAATCATCAGTGCCAGTCGTGTGCGGCAGTCTACAGAAGATAGCGACGCGCAAACGCACTTTGTCAACAATTTATCTCAATTGTCCCTCTTGGGTTACATTAATCTGACGCAAGTTATATTACAGCTATAATAATCTTGATATCATTTTTAGTCGCTACGGTGCCAACAACTCGACTCGCTGTTGTACCAAAAGTTTGAAAGGCTGTGCATATATTTGTGCGTTTAAAAATTGCATATATAAATTCATTATACATCGCCGTCCTTACGGTAATATGTCAATTTTGCAACATATGCAGAAATAGATATCTTTCATCAAATTTTGATAAATATTTGCACACGTTTACACGAGTGCACGTGTCACATGCACGAATATTCGAATACACGTGTCACGTACACAGGTACACGTGAATGAAGGCGCCTTAAATATACGGATTACACGCGAATCCTAAAATACGTATCCAATCGAAAGCTCTTTATATGCGCCACCCAATATTTTGCATAACTTTTTTTAAATGGAGTCGGGCGATTTTCTTTCATTTCTTCTATATCTTATGCGTCGCGTACCAAAACCGAGAGCAGACACACTTGTGGTAATAAATAAATCTCGTGTGTTTAGACGCTCCGATTGACTTCTGACATCTTTCGGGTAAACGATATGTACATATCGGGCAGATCTCTTTGACATTGTCGTTCCTCGTTTTGTCGCTTGCATAAAATAAATATTGGAAACTGCATGTGTTGTATAATTGATCTTTTCTCTGTCTATCAGAATCGGCATTTCGGAAAGAAGAGAAAGTTAATTGCCTTTTTTAATATCTCCCGTACGTTGGATCCAACATCCTTCACCTATCGCAAGATAGGTAAATATCGTGAGAGATATTTCGCAATAAAGGTTCCTATTCTTGAGAATATCCTACCCTGTCGCGTTACAATCACGTGACAATTCATGTGAACGAAAGGAAAAATTTCAACTTGGATCTCTCTTTGTTCCGTCCATTAGTGACTAGATACTTAGAGGCTCGAGCTCTTTGCAGTGACCCGGTCGGTGATATCGCGATAGATTTCTCGGAACTTGAGAATCTGCCGGCCGCGACGCGCGAGACGTCCCGGAGATATTGACGACTTGGCGATCGTTTATTTTTCCACGCTTACTCGGATTGTAGAGATATTCGGACGAGCATCGATCGTTTTTTTAAGCAAGGGAGCTATCTCTCGATAAAGGCGCTTTCGGCTTCGTTGTGATAATTTGTCAGCAAATTTTTCGCTGTGGTACGCTTACGAAAACGTATTAACCGTGTATAACGATTGCCTAACTAAGAATGCGCAACAATTGTACATGTATCATCTGCAAATGCATAATTTATCT